GAGGCCTCTGCTAGCACTGCTCCCATTAGAACACAATGACTCCAGACAAAGAGGAAATGATAGGGTGAACCACAGCACCCTCACTTGACATTCACAGGGAGGGGATGAGGGACAGCATAGTAAACCCTTGACAGTTTTCTCCCCGCATTTGACCCTTCCATACACTTTGAGGAAAAAAAGAATTTACACATATAAAGTATACATAACATGAAGCTTGCCGAAGTGAAAACCCTTTAATCACTTTGATTTCACAATTTCTAGGGTTTGAATGAACTCAATATGCTTCCTCTACAGTAGAGGTGGGAGGACAGCGCTGTGGCTTCTGGTCTCCATCATTTCTGAAGTGGTGGGGCCGATCCATTCCTGTTGCTGTCACAAAGGACTCCTCTCAATTGTCAAATTTTCTGAATTCTTAGATGACCGTAGATGAATTCTTAGGAAGAGGCATTGCTTTCAGCATCCCATAAGCCACTGAGCTACCTTTCTCCTTTGCGATGGTTTCTAGGGGATGAAGCTCAGGACACTCTGAGACCATTAGACTCATTAACAACTCTGTTGCTTCAGGGATAAAACCACATCACTCAGATCATTCGTTCAGCAACTATAGTATTTAAATAAATTCAAAGTTACTGACCAATTTTTCTCAGTCACCCTTGAGGATTTGAATTCAATGCATTATTTCCTGACACATTTTAAAAATCTTCTGACACTAGCACAACCAGTCAGATTAATGTTCTTTGCTCTCTCTTCTTTTTCTTCACATCCTTAACAACATTACCAAAGGAACCCTTGGCTTCAACAACCAGGGTGGTCTTCCACTCCTGGTCAAATGCCTGACACCCTGCCTCCCTCCCATATAAACTCCACTGGCTTAATTGTTTCCATGTCAGAACCCTTGAAAGTCTAATCAAATTATTAAGTGAAATTTCTCTAATTACCTCATCCTACAAATATCCATCCCCTTTCTCATCTTAAAAGTTCATTTCTGATACAACCAATCTATTCTTTTATGTCTTGTTAATTTTATAACAAAAGCTGAATTTCCTATAAGTATGACCTGTATAGGTGTCAATAATAGCTGACTACTAAAATTCATATATTTTTTCCTGAGTGCACTGTTCTAAAAAGAGTTGAACATATTTATGTCCTTTTGAAATGTCAGAATTTATTGAATAAATGTATTTGTATGTGGCTTATGTTAGGTCTCAAACCTGGGAATTGAGGTACCTATAAACATAGGTTCTCCCAGCATCCCTCAGTCCCTGACTGACTGGCATACCTCATCTCATACCCTAAACTTTTCAAGCCCATAGCTGACCTGGACTCTTCCTTCCCCAGCTTCTCTTCTGTATGGAACCCAGCCATTTTAGCTATGCCAACCCTTTTATCTTTTGGTCTCCTCACTTTCTTCTGGCCTCTTGGCTCTTGGCTCTCTCCACTTCCCAACCCCTATACTCACATGGCCTGGCTCAGTCATATCTACTCTAAACCCTTCCAGGTGCTTCTGGCTATGTTCTCCCTCATATCTACAATAAACCTCCTCCTCCACTGTACCTAGGAGCAGTTAGTAATGGCCTCCTTTTGTTTCTTTTTATTGTCCAATTTACAGTCAAATGACTGTAGGTGAACAGACTTGTCTTCTGTTCCATTTGAGGCCAGTACCATGCCAGCTTTGTCAACATAACTCTGTGACTTTAGATCAGCAATGGTGATACCTCCAGTAGTAGCTTCTGGCTCAGGATTGCTTTGGTTATTCATAGTGTTTTGTGCTTCCAAATGAATTTTAAGCACTCCCCCCGCACATACTCTTGCTTCTATTTCTGTGAAAAATAGCATTAGAACTTTGATGAAGATTGCATTGAATCTGTAGACTATTTTAAGTAAGAGCCATATTTTACAACATATGATTCTCTCAACATCTGAGCACCAGAGGCCTTTCTGTCTTCCAAGTTCTTCTTCAGTGTCCTTCTAGAGTAGCTTGAAGATTTCACTGGGAATGTGCTTCATTTCCTTGATTAGGTTGGAGCCTCTAGAGTAGTATGAGTTCAGTCAGCATGTTCTCTGTCATGGTGCTCAGTCATAGCAGGCTGGTTCCAACCAGTGTTCATGTGAATGCTTTCTCTACAGCAAAACTACTATGCAGCTTCTAGATGGCTCCCGTACTTGGACTGCAAGCCTATAACAAGCAGAAAGCTTTCTAGTAGCTAGATTGGGATTATGTGTAGTAATGGGAGTTTCCTAAGATTCTCTTCGGCTTTTTTCCTCCCTACAGAGTGGAGATTCTGTGGTCCTGCATGAGAAAACAGAGTGGCAGTTTGTAAAGCAACCTAGTCCTTTTTCTAGGCTGCTTTCTTGTCCTAGGTAGCCAAGTCTCTGACGTTTCTGGTCTCTTTATTGCTAAGCTCTTCTAAATGAACTCTTCAGGTACTTACATGTATGTATGCACGTATGTTCATACATATGTACATACATATAGATACACACACACAACAACAATAGTTAAAGAAGAGGTCACAACTTTGAGAGAACATCTCCACGTGTGTATATGGAAAGAGTTGGAGGGGTGAGGGAAGAGTAGGAATGATGCAAAGACAGTACTCATACATGAAATTCTCAAAATAAAGTGTGAAAAAATAGGTTAATTATATTTTACAATCGTTTTCAAATGGTTGAATCCATGAAGACTTTTACTTTATTTTCTCTCTCAGGCACTTGCTGCTTTATTCTTATATAAAAAACATAGAGAGAGAGAAATACCTAAAAAGCTAATTATTTGATTTTGGCATCTAAAACTTATCTAAGCCATAATGAAGATAATAATGAGATACAGATGTGGTTCCTTTTTTTTTTTTATTTCTTTTTTTTTTGAACATGAAATGCTTTTTTATAGCATGTTTTACAAGGGGAGGGGGTAAGAGGGTCCAGGTGGTGGAAAAGTACAAAATCTTCTTGGCCTGTGCCTTGAAACATGTCATGGTCTATACGGTACACTGCCTTGAATTATGATCTACCTGCAGTTCTTCAGAAGATATGGTACACTGCTTGAGTTATGGTCTCCCTGCTATTCTTAAGATGATATGGTACTCTGCTTTGAGTCTATCTGCAGTTGCTAAGCAGGATCTTGCAGTTGCCAAGCTTCAGAGGACATTGTGCAGGTGGGGAAAGGTAGGGGGTAAGGGTAAGGGCGAGGGTCCTGGCTTCTGGCATCTCCCCCTTCTCTGTTTAGTTAGAGAAGGCGTCTTATGTTCAATCCCAACTATGTGAGTTTTGAATTTGGATGTCTAATTATGGGGGGTCTTAGACAAGTTCACAACCCCAAAACACTGATGTGAGACGAGTCACATCGATGGTCGAAGGCTTTAGGCTGTCGACGATGGGCAACGTCAAGGGACTCTGATGTGGGTGAAAGGAGGGTGAGAGCCCTGTCTTAGGCCATGAAGGCTGCACCCACTCCCAGCACCACGCACTCCTTTTCGGCTGCATTGGGTGGGCCCCTGGGAAGTGGACCTACAATAATCCCGTCATTGGGCTAACTCACAGCCATCCTAGTCTCTTGTAAATGTTCAAGTTACCAACCATTTGTCAGTTTGGGGTGTAATATTGTCATAAAGGAAGGCTCCCCAATGTTAGCGGCCATATCAAGGGTGGCCTTGGTTTAGGAAAAAGCCAATTTTTGTTGTGGTGATCAAGAGGCCAAGCTCTCTAGCGAGAGAAATGAGGGCAAAGCCAGGCATACCAGGAACCCTTCTGGAGGGCATGGAAGTCTAGGGGTCGACCGTAGGGGGAGGCAGGGGAGCTGACAGCTGTGTCAGTCTCCTGCGGAGTCACTTCTGGATCCTCTGCAATTTTCAGCTGATGGTAATGAACTTCAACTGCCTTCTTGATGGCAGCATCAACCTGGTTCCGTGGACGACAGGTCACGGGCGATGATCTCTGTCTCGTGCGCACATCCTCTCAATGAGGGTCCGTCCGGATGGGTCCGTGCCTCGAGCCCCACGTCTGGGTGCCACTTGACCCGACCGGCGGGTCCTGGTTATTCGTGGGGGCGAGGAGGACTGCAACCTGCTATTCTTCAGAAGATATGGTACACTGCTTGAGTTATGGTCTCCCTGCTATTCTTCAGATGATATGGTACACTGCTTTGAGTCTATCTGCAGTTGCCAAGCAGGATCTTGCAGTTGCCCAGCTTCAGGGGACCTTGTGCAGGTGGGAAAAGGTAGGGGGTGAGGGTAAGGGTGAGGCTCCTGGCTTCTGGTCCATCTGGGTTAGAACTTCTAATAGCAGGCATCACGGGTGATTCAATTTTACCTGGAAAGAAAAAAGAAGGGGATTCTCAGGGAGATTTCTCTTCCCTGGATGTAAATTGTTATTCATCGTATTTATGATTGGGCCTGGCTTTGTGAGGGTATCTAATTTTTCATTAATATTTGTGGTAGCCGGTTAGCTGTGCCTTCTGTGGTATTGGGCAGGCATATCAGTCCTCGGCTCCATAAGGGAACTGGGACTGGGGCATTCCCTTTATGGGTATGAGGGTCCTTCCCCATATCTGTGGCAAAGTTTTGTTGGTCTTGGTGGTGCCCGAGGTCACCAACATGGTCAGCAAGAGATTTGCCATGAGCTTTCAGCTTTAGAGAGAGAAAAGTGAACAAGGCATGATGGAGAGTATTTCAGGGGGACTCCTTCTGAGGGGGTACCGTTCCCCCTCTTTTGTTTTTAAAGCCAATTTTTCAGAGTTCTTGTAAAATCAGGGCAGAAGCGCCAACAGTTGCTCCTTCCACACTCAGAGAGTCATGAAGGTTTCTCTGTGTAGCCTTGGCTGTCCTGGAACTCACTCTGTAGACCAGGCTGGCCTCAAACTCAGAAATCCGCCTGCCTCTGCCTCCCAAGTGCTGGGATTAAAGGTGTGTGCCACCACCGCCCGGCTGTTGTTTTTTTGTTTTTGTTTTTTTTTTTTTTAAATCAGTGACAAACTTAGTGAAATAGAGACCTTCTGAAAATCCCAGGTACTGACAGTGAATACAGAAATGGAAGCCATTAAAATTGTATGTTAGAAGATTAGGTAGGCTGAGATCTGCAGTCCCAGCACTGGGACACCTCTGAAGTAGGAGAATGTTGAGTCGGCTAGCCTGGGCTACATCTCATTTATACACACACACACACACACACACACACACACACAGAGTCTTTTTCAGTACTGTATAGTCCTGTAACCCTTTCTTATCTCTTTCCCCGGGTTTCTCCTTCTTCAGAACTCACCTTCAAGCTCTACCAGCGGGCCAAACACGTGTACAGTGAGGCTGCACGCGTGCTGCAGTTTAAGCAGGTGTGCGAAGAAGCACCAGACAATGCAGTCCAGCTGCTGGGTGAGCTAATGAACCAGAGCCACCGAAGCTGCCGGGACATGTATGAGTGCAGCTGCCCTGAGTTGGACCAGCTAGTGGACATCTGCCGGTGAGCTGAGAGGGCCATGTGGGAGCCAGAATGTGCCACCAGGGAATGCTATTTCAGTGAACAAAAAGCTGTATCCTCATAATTTAGATGAATCCTTCCTCTCTGAGGTACTCCAGTCCTCATGATGTAGAGCCCCCATGTTCTTCCTGTGTGTCTGCAGGGTGGTTTGAGACCTGGATTTCTGGGGCTCAGAAGTTAATCTGGAACCAGTTTCATTGCTAGCTGATTAGACCTCTCAGGAAGGCAGCTGTTCTCTGACATAGGCATTTTATATATTTCAAACCCCCCTAGGAACCTAATGGAGTTCTGTCTAGAAGAGAGTTAAAAGAGGGTCTTGAGCTTGAGAGTTCTGCTGAAGGAGGTGGGCTGGAAGAATCACTTGGAAAGCCCCTCTTGAGTTGCCATATTTATTTTGGGCAATTAGGGGAAATAAAGACCAGAGAAAGGCCACTCTATAAACTTGGCTATGACAGAAGTGTAAAGAGAGAGCCTCTTTCACAAACTCTCCAGACCTCCCTGTAATTGTGCAACAATGGGATAATAGAGTCCTTCCCAGGGAGGTCCCATGCTGACCTTGGAGAACTGAAAGGGAAATTGGAGGGGAATCAGATGACCTGTGTTAGCTCACTCTGACGATGACACAGTCCTGCACGCAACTAGCAATGGAAATGTAATTAGCCATTTGGCGCCTGTGGCTTGCCAGGCTCATGCCACACCCATTCAGAAAGTTTAAACCCAGCAGCTAGAGTGGATCACAAATGGCATGTGGAACCTGCATGGCCCGTGGCTGAGGCACGTCAGCATTTGCTCACTAATTGCCAAAACCCCTTCCAGAGCTCGTTTTATTTTAAATAAAAAAAGCATCAAGGGCCCAGTAAATGGAAGAGACAAATACTGTTCAGTTTTGGATATAAGAGGAAGTGGAGTGATTTGTGTAGAAATGAGGAATCAGTTGTCATGGCTTGGAAGGGGGATGGGAATTTGAATCCTCCCAGAAACAGTATGGATGGGCTCCGCCAGCCTCCTGGAATTTTCCAGTGTGCTTTCTTCTCCTCGGATGATCACCAGCAAAAGTTTACATTTCTGTGGGCAAAGAGCTTAATGATGATTAAAACAATAATTTGATTGCTTGTGATAAATGTTGCAGATGGAAACTGGGAAGAGGGATAGTGACTGCTGGGCTTGAAGGGAGAGTCTTTAAATGGAGTGGTTGGAGAAGGCTTCTCTAAGGAAGCGACACTGAAACAGAAGACCTGAAGGAACAAGCAAACAGGCTGTTATGTGCGAGGCACAGCAGGGAAGGAAGGAGAGAGGACAGGTGAAGTCTGAGAGGTTGTGGATATGACACTGTACATTGACCCCATCAACTGTGGACAGGATTCACACTGCATGCACCCCATCAGCTGTGGGCAGGATTCACACTGCACGCACCCTGTCAGCTTTGGGCAGGATTCTGGCTTCCAGAAGAGAAAGGGGCAATGGATGTGATGGTTGATTCTGTCCTAGATATGTTTGAAGGGAGGTTCTAGACCATTGTGACCATTGCTCTGTGGGAGAAGGAGAGGAAGGAACCAAGAGGACTGCTGGTGTTTTTTTGACTGAGAAATGTTTCCTGTTTTCTTTTTCTAAAATTATTATTTTGGGAGGAGGGCAGCCATCTTTTCCAATTCAAGGTCAGAGTTCTCCATAGGCCATACAGAGTCCCATTGTTACTGTGAGACTCTCCTTAGGTCAGGGCCCAGGGAGGACAGCTGTAGGGGTCAGGACACCACTGTTGCTGCCTCCTTCCCTGCCCATAGTCAGCCCAAACCTCACATAGAAGCCAAGGTACTGTCTTTTTGTCTGGGAAGTGATAGTGCAGGAAAGAGGTGCTGAAGACATCCAGAGGAACCAGGGATAAAATAAAGAACAAAAACACAAAACAAACAAACAAACAAAAAACATCCAACCAAACCCCTGGAGCAGAAGAGCAGTGAGCAGTGAGCTCAGGAGGTCTGGAGAGCACCGTGGCTTCATATAAAAAATCGACCTAACTACGTAAGTGTAATTTCCTTGTGGTTTTCTTTTCTTTTTTGACAGGTTCTTATCCTGTGGCTCCTGGCTGGACAGGAGGGCCTCTTCTGTAGCTACAATTGGCCTCCACCTCCCAGTAGTTTTCATGCCTGAGCCTCACGGGCACACACACTCAGCCCTTGGGCCTTCTTTTGTGTTCTGAACAGGTTTTTCTCTTGATGAGCAGGACAAAAATGAAATGTCCTCTCACTGTCTCACTGACTGACTTCGAGGACCACTTTGGAAATATGGTCCAGCTCAGGTCACACAAACCTGCAGTGTGTGGGGGTCTGTGGTGATAACATAGCCACTAAAGCTGCATTCCCATACTCAACTACCTATCTGTTCATACAAATACTTTCCAAAAAGTTTCCTCAAATACATAGAAATTTTAAAGTGCTACCAGGTAGCCAAAGGTAATGGTGGCAAAAACGTCATTGACAATACTCCCTGAACCCGTTTCTACTTCCCTCATCTGGTCTCCCAAGCCGACCAACAGCCCAGGCTGCCCAGTTTCTCAGTACACTTTATCTTCTCTGTAGCAGGGAAGTCTGAGCTGCTGTTTTATTAAACAAAACAGAACTCTGCCAACATGGCCCATGCCTGGCATTCTCAGGGCCCTCCCAGGACATGCAGCATCTTTGTGTCCTGGAGATGATATCAGGGACATCAGTTTAAACAGAAAAGAAGGCCCAAGGGCTGAGTGTGTGTGCCCATGAGGCTCAGGCATGAAAACTACTGGGAGGTGGAGGCCAACTTTAGCTACAGAAGAGGCCCTCCTGCCCAGCCAGGAGCCACAGGATGAGACTCTGTCAAAAAAGAAAAGAAAACCAGAAGGAAATTACACTTATATAGTTAGGTCAATTTTTAAATTAAGTTAATGTTAGAATTTTTATTAGATGAGATGAAATAATGAAGGAAGAAGGCAGTCTTTGCCCAACTATAAAATGTCTATTTTAAATGAACAAACTGTAAATTTAAATTTTAATGTAGAATTTCCTGAGGAACACAGAAGCCAAGTCATGTAGGACAGCTCATTTGTTATTGGTTCCTTGAAGGGGGGAAAAAAACTAGTGCTTTTTGTTTCTGTTTGGCCACTTGTTGAAATTAGAAAGGTTTCCTCCCTGTATTATTGCTGTTATTGCCCAAGATATTAAGGAAGACAAATGTTGGATTCTCAGGATGAGAGTGGGTGCAGACATTCTTTTGCTCCACTCCCCTCAGAAGTCTTCCCTCAGCCCTGATCCCACAGCTGGGCTGCTCAGCCTCCTGAGCCCCTCCTCGATAAGTCAGTCATAGATGTGTGGTCTTTCACTGGGGCACATGCTGACCTCCATGCCCTGCCATGGAAGGGGAGAGTTCTGTTCTACCTGTTCTGGAGAATCATCCCTCTTTAGGCAAATATCTTTTACCTCTAGGGTGTTGTAAGTGACTGACCACACTCTGAGGCAAGCTACAGCCATCTTGAGGCATTTGCCTGTGATAGCTTGCAAGATCATTTTAGTTGGGCTGGTTGACTGTTTATAGCCCCCAGTGGAGGGGATGGAGGGTCACAAACCCCCACTGAGTATCCAGCCAGATCCAGCTCTGCCCTAAGTGTGCTTGGTCCCTGGGAAAGGCTAGATTATAAAGGCATGGGAAGACTAGAGGGTGGCTTTCCATAAGGCAAAGGGAAAGCCCTCATCAATGCTGAGGAAAGGCTTTTTAGGTGAAGTCTTTTGAACGCTTGAGCACACACACCTCTGTAAGTAATCCCTTACCTGCTATATTAAGAAGCCAAATAAAGTCATCGATTACCCCACCCAGTGAACACTGGGAAACCAAACCTCCTTTCGTTGTTGGGAACTTTGGAAGGGGTGGGGCATGCTGCCCTATCTCCTCCTGGGAAGGAATTTTAGAGACACTGATATGCTATACAGTCAATTTGTCCTCAAAAGAACTGCTTCTTAATGGCCTTTGATGCCCCATGTTCTGAAACTAATCTACCGACATGTTTTCTCATTCCTTCTTCTATCTGCAGCTTTGGAAGACTGCAGTTTCTTGACTCCAAAGCAATCTGAAAAAATGTCTGTAGTCTAACTATAAAAACTTGCAGAAATTATGCTGGAAGGTTTGTTTTCCTGAGATAATTGCCAGTTTCCAAAGAGAAGAAGCTAGGATTCCTTGCGGTTTCATGACAGCCTACCACAACACTAGAGCTGGGCTTACCCTGGGCTGCAGGATGGATGTGACCTCTATTTGTATAAAATGTAAATACTTCTCTAATTTGAAATGCAAGGCATAATTTTCTCCCTTTCAAGTCTGTAGCAGTGGGGTCTTTTTGTCCCTCCACCTACTGCCCCCCACAATGCCTTACACCCCGTTCAGAGCTTTATAATCAGCCCTGTTCACTGAAGACAGGGCATTGGAGTAGATGTAATAGGCCAGCAGTAAGGTCTGGTTTCCTCCCAGGCCTTTGCTGTGTGAAGTCATTGCACTGACAATCCCTTTTTATACCATTCTCCTCCTCATCACAGTGGCCTGTAGGAGATTTCACACACCACAGGGTTGTTTCTTGCAATGGTCCTGTTTCTATTCTGACCTGGTGTAGTGAAGGAGATGTATTTTTAAATTTTATTAGTTTCTCAGAACTTCAAACGTAAAAAAGTTTATTAAACAGCCTTGGCTCATCTATATTTTCTTCTTGATTTAACACCTTTGTTGATCTCCCAACTTTAGACCTTACTTGTAGTTTCAGAGACATGCAAAGGGCATTTTAAGAGCCACTGAAAAAACATTGCTGTTAAGACTTCTCTGCCTCTCTCTTTCCCTCTGTCTCTCTTTTTCTCAGTGTGTGTGCGCGCGTGTGCGTCTGCGTGTGTGCTTCTGTGTGTGTGTGTGTGTGTGTGTGTGTGTGTGTGTGTGTAGCTGAATAAGGTAGTCTGCTGATTCTCGATACAATTACTTTGGTTTGTGAACAACAATGCTGTTGACTGTGGACAGAAGGCTGCATTATAGCATTTCTTTTTTCTTTTTAAACTTTTTATATGGTACATTTTGATCATATTATTTCCTGTCTCCCAGCTCTCCCTCAATTCTTCCTTCATCCCTACCCACTCAACTCCATGGATCTTCACTCTGTTTAAAACAGTATCAACAACAAAAATTTACAAAAAGGAAAAGATGAAAATCTTGATCTCTGATGATTTTGGAGCTTGGAGGGATAGAATGGAGCCCATTCTGCATCAGGCAGGGTGGCCACAGGGAAGACTGAAGATGCAGAAGCAGATTAATTTGCCCAGAGGTCTCTTAGCCTCTGCTTAGTATGAATACTAAGTCTGACAGAAGGTTTGGAAAAATGGATCTCTTCCAGCTAGATCAGAAACAGCTCTCTTTTGATCATTTCTTTCTTTTTAAAAATGCTCTAAGACAGGCTCTCACTATGTCTTCCTGTCTGTCCTGGAACAAGTTGGCCTCAAACTCACTGTAATCATCCATCTTTTGCTTCCCACGTGTGCCCCACCACTCTATTCAAACTATTCAAGAGAGAAGTGTATGAAAATATCCCGAAAAGGCCCATGGAAAGGAGTTAAAGACCTGGTGAATTTTGCTCACAGAGCATCAAGTGGGCACGCTCTCACCTAGAGCAGACTGCGGTTGGCTTTAAGGATTATTCTGAGATACTTCAAGGAACCTTCCATTTCTTCTGCCTTCTTCAGCTATGGTAGTGTTTGATGTGACCTCCTATGACCAAGTTTCTTCTTTAAATCAACAAACTACAAACAGGCCCTTTTCTAGCTTAGGAAGTAAAGACCATTCAAGAATCTCATAATTAAAGCAGCTTTTCAGCCTGGATGATGGGAGTTTGGGCTGAATTCAGCTAGAAGCTGCTATTTGAGGGTCATCAGAAGATTGGTAACCTTTTATGGTTGTAAGCACGTTTTTCACATTTAGGAAAAATGTATTTGAATAAAACAAATGATTCATTCACTGGAGAGCATCACCAAGGGAAAAGTGAGTAGCTAATGTGTAGTAATCCCAACTTCCTGGAGAAGGGTAATGGTCTGTTCATTCTATTGATGTTTTCCAGGAAGTGGAGGGAAAGGAGAGACAAAATTGGGCTAAATTAATTATGAAGTTTTAAATCTATTACTAATTTGGAGTAAATTTCATTAGAAAAAATAATTGGAAATGTTTTTGAGTAAATTACATATTTGAAAGAGAACTGATCCTTCAGTTTTGTTTAAGGTTTTTGCACTAGGTCAGTTCTAAGGTTTGAGACTATGGTTGGTTAATAGTGACTACAATTTCTGGCTACATGGAGGTTTAGAGATGAAATGCTTCCCTCTCAGTGAGCATTTAATTTACTGGCAAAGGTGGGTCTTCTTGTTAGCTTAATCCCAGAAAGTTCAGGGAAGATGGTATACACGGTTAGACTCGCCATCCATTTTGTGGGAGGTTTGCATAATTTTTCATTAGTCATTATGCAAGCCAACCAACTAGCCAACTTAGAGTTTACTAATAGGCTCTATGCTAATAAATGTATGCAGAATAAACCTAGGTTGTCAGTTCTGAGGAACTGGTTCTTTTTTTTTTCTCTCACTGTGGTGTTAGGTATTGAACCCAGACCTCATACATACTAGGCAAACTTTCTACCATTGAGGTGCATGCCCCGCCCTTAGCCCTCGTCTGATGTCAGTGTGTAAGAATGGATAAGCTTTATGAATACAACTGAGAGTGATCTGGAGGTGGCTCTGTCAATAAAGTGCTTGCTGTGCAGTCATGGGACCTGGGTTGGTATTCTTAGTACCCACAGAAAAAGCCAGTTAGAAGCAACCAACACCTGTACTCTTAACATTGTTGAATGAAGAAAGAAGACTCTCTGGGGCTTTTTGGCCAGCTGTCCTTGAAGAATCAGTGAGCTTCATGTTTAGTGAGAGATCCTGCCTTCAAAAATGAAATAGAGAACAGTGGAAGGAGGTACCAGATGTTGACCTCTGGACTCTACCTGTCCATGTGCATACCTGTACATCTGCACTAACAGAAACATGTACACATGCATAACTTTCCACTGTCATCAATAAAGAGAATGCAGTTGAAAGAGCTATCAGGATTTCTAGTGTCCAACACTGTAACAGTGATTTTAATTTACCCTCTTTAGAGGTGACCTTCTGATTCCCTGTGTCACTATGTCCACTGTCCATCTTCTCACTTCCATTCCTGATTAACTGGAGCCTTGCTATGCAACTTTCAAGTGGTTACTGTATGGCTATTTGAGATCAAGCCTACAGTGGGTGGTTCTAGGTCTGTAAAGTAGGCACTGTTGATAGTTATTATTTGCCTTCAATAGCAATGAGTAACTTCAGATATCACCAAAAAGGTTCTCAGTCCTGAGTGCTGGAAAAAAAACTTGTAAATTATATTCAATTTAGATTTCTTGTGTGTGTGGTGTCTACACATGTGTGAGAGTACACATCCATGTATGTGTACATGTGTATAGAGACAAAAGGTTGTCTTTATCCATAGCTCTCCATCTTAAATGTTTTTAAAATTATATTTCCCCACCTTACATTTTGAGATAGAGTCTTTACTGAACAGAGCTCATAATTCTTCTAGACTGGCTGACTACTGAGCTTCAGGGACATGCCTGTCTCTATTTCTTCTCACCAATGCTAGGGTTGCAGACATGGGCTACAGTACCCAACTTTTATGTGTCTGCTTGAGTGGAAGACACTACTTTCTGAGCTATCTCCTGAGACCCCAATATATATTTCTTAAAGCTTGAAATTCCTGAATACCCCTACCCCAATATTCTCTTCATAGGACCTGGGAAGAGGGTGTGTTCTGTATCAAGTAAGTTGCTATTATTTTTGCTTATTGGTGATAATGCTTTGTTTTCTCATTGTTTTAGGAAGTTTGGGGCCAAAGGCTCACGACTTACTGGAGCAGGATGGGGAGGCTGCACTGTATCCCTCGTGCCCACTGACATACTCTCCAGCTTTCTCGCAAGCGTGCATGAAGCTTATTACCAGGGGAACACGTCCCGCCTAGCTCGGGAGAAGCATAGCTTATTTGCTACCAAGCCTGGAGGCGGGGCTTTGGTTTTCCTTGAAGCCTAAATGATGTTCAACATCCCAGAAAAACTATTTTGGGCATTCAAGAGCTGGTGGGACTTCCTGTGCCACAGTAAATCAGTTCCTTTTCTATTTTGTGTTGTGAGGTACAGTTGTTATTATCAAGATGCATTTCCAAAGAAATGGTGAAAGCTAGGCTTCATAATGACTACTTTTCCTTCTTACATGTATTTTTATGAATCAGAGCCAAGGATATTGTTAGATAGATCTTTGAAGTATGATTAAGATTTATTGATGTGAAGATTTTAAAGATGAACAGCAAAATGTACTTTTAATTGAACACTCCACTCCAATTAAACTGATACAGCTGAACTGTGTATTGTTCTTGAAGGGCGGTCACTGCTGGCTTCCCTTAGCCCTCTTCCATAATCGTTGAAGTCTTCTGATATGGTAGGTAATGACAACGATGAATATGGTGACTGCGGTGACTGTGGCGACTCTGATGGTGATGTTGATCCTCCATATTCCTCCTTGAGTTTAGCCTCAACACGCTAGGAACAAAGTGCAGGGTTAAGGGTTTGCAAATATTAGACACTCACAGTATACTTGAATGTCAGATTTCTACATCTCTGAAGATGGTGAAGATCACTTTGGGAGGAGGAGCCAAAAGATAGATTTCAGAAGACAATTTTGAATTGACTTTTTTCCTACTAGCACTACATGTCCAATGCCATTCCACCTGACAACCCCACCCATACCTCACATCCCTCTTGTGGCTGCCTGGCAAGGCTTGTTTGTGTAACTTAGTCCTCTGTAGGGCAGATGTGCAGTATACAGGTTTGAGTGACTAATCAGAAGCCTGAAGTGTGAACTGTCAGTGATGGAGTAAGGGCACAAGTGTCTGGTCATGTGGTGACAGGCCAATGCCAGACTTCCAGAAGCCCTTTCTAAGTTGCATGGCAGGATAGGGAGATGAAAGAGGGTTTTACTAAAAGACTCAGGTGACAGAGGTAGCTTGTATTGTGGTTGGGAATCACCACGGCTTTTGTTTCTTATGACTGTGTCGTCCCATTAAGAGGCATTCAGAGGCTAAGTTTCTTCATCTGCCTGTTTCCAAAAGGCATAGGCACACAATAGTATTTCTTAAAGGACAAGTCCCTGGGAAACCAAGATCCATCCTAAAACTAACTCCTGACACATTTCCTTCTAAATACCTGAGCAACATTGTATCAAATTAGTTAAAAAAGTTTTTTGAGTTTTCTTAAGCACAGTAATCTAAGATCTGAATTTATTTAACTTTATGATCCTGCATATTTTTTAATGGCCTGTATTCCCCACGACTAATTTGTGGTTGGTTAGAATTCTTAAGAAGAAGAGGAAGAGGAAGTGGAAGCAGAAGCGGAAATGGAAGCAGAAGCAGAAGCAGAAGCAGAAGCAGACGATGACTTAGATCATGTGTCACTGCTCTGTTAGTCCATTTGATGATTTTCACCATGAAATTCCTTCATAGGAAGATGATAAAAATGTTTAGTAATTCTAATATTCAGTGTGAATACCTCAGTCTTTCTAGATGTTCACAGTGCACACCTCTATGAGGACACAGTCATTCAAAGTGTTCAGTATGTACGCCTCTATAGAGAACCTAGTCCTTCTAGGTGTTTTGTCTTTGGTGAGGTACAGACTCTACTGAAACTATTCTACTCTAGTTTGGCTCCCTGTTTGTTAAGATTGTTTCAAACCTGCCTTCAGTACCTTGTGTTCTAGAAGTTGTGAGACATACCCAGATCTTCTGAGAAGAGTAGGGGTGGGACCAAGGGCATCGCTTCATAAATAACTGGACTTGGAAAGGCTGGCTAGACTCTGAAAGCTAGAGTAGACAGTGTAGACCAGCAAAGCTGAGTATAGCCTGTGGAGGGCTCTGTGGGACTACAGGGTTTGCTTTAAAATGCGTTGAGGAATCTTGTCAGCTGCACTGGCTGGATCAGGCAGCATTCAGATTAGGAAAACAGGCCACATCTGGTCTGCAAATGTATTGTTTGGCTCATTAGCACTTGAAAATGTGGGCTCTAAGTCTGGAGATTTTGTACATGAGTCTGAATTACTGATGGAAGCCTGAGAGAAGACTGATTCCCGCAGGGAACAAGGAAGGAGGGTGAAAGAACAACTGTAGTGTCGCATGGTGAGGCGCTCCCTCTGCAAAATGTGCTGCTGCTGCGGTTACATGTGATAAGAGCTCATGGCACTATTCAGTAGTAGGAAATACTTCAAAAAATTAGGAACAAGGAATAATGCTTCAAAAAATAAAAGGACAATGATCCTATGTGACTAAGAGAAACACTCAAGTGTTTCATGACTTTCTAGCACCTTTCTGTGCAAGAATCTTACTCGCCTCATTTTTTGGTATTAGACTGGTACCCAGTGGGATTGCTCCGGAGTCTGGACTGCAGAGGGGAAATCTCTCATACTGGATATCTCTATCCTTGGTCTCAGGTAGTATACCCTGCTAATTTCCTGTATGCTGGTGTCTTCCCCTTCCCCTTTTGGAAAGCATAATCCTTCAGATTTAACAGGGCTGTTCAGAAGGCTTGGAAAAGCAGAAAAAATCCAGGGGAAATGGGCAGAAATGCTCCCACCCCTCCTTCCTCCTTCAATCTGAGCTCTGTTTGGAGTCTTGTCACAGTCTTCATTGTGTTTGGGTGAGTTGAGGGTGAGAGATGTTCTTTTCACATAGATGTTCTTTTCATGTAGCTTTTGTGAATTATTAATAAAAAATAAAATACAACATTAAGCACCAATAATTTCCTCTAGTTTCTAATCCAATTGCACTTGATGGGATCTTAGTGGCAGAAATGGTCTCAGGTACTATTTTAGAAGCAATTCATGGGGACAGTGGGCATAGCTCATGACTGGCCTTGAGAGTGGATGATCTCCCTTCTGCAGTGGACAGCTGCTGATAAGAATGTGTCCTTTCTGCTACTGCAGCTTGAGTGTGACCATGCATTCCTTATGAAACATGAGGTCTGGAGGTGAGAAGCAGGGGAGAGAACTCTCAATTATTTCCAGGAAGGAGGAAACCTACTTGTTTATGTAGAAAATTCTCAAAATCATTTTTGACTTCTTGGAGATTTTTGGAAGCCTTTGCTTGGAGCCTAATGGAATAAAGAAAAACATTTAGGCAAACAAACTGTTCATATGCATCTCCTAGCCAGTATTTGCAAAGACTGAACATGTGTTAATGCACCTACCTCATTACAATTGTATCAAGCAGGGATACTTTTTCTTCTCTTTTTATCAATGAGGAAACAGGCTTAGATAGGCAAAGCTACTGCCACCACCTCATACACAAGGCTAAAAAGCAGACATCTTTTTTTTTAATTTAATTTTTTAAAATTATTTTTTCATTGGATATTTTAATTACATTTCAGATGTTATCCCCTTACCCCCTTTCCCTCACTCCCGCCCAGGAGCCCCCTATCCAATCCCCCCTCCTCCTGCTTCTATGAGGATGTGCCCCACCTACCCCCTCACTCCCACCTTCCCACCCTCAAATTCCTCCACACAGTGTCCAGCCTTCAAGGGACCAAGGATCTTCTCTCCCACCTATACCCGACAGGACCATTTTCCCTTGCATAAACAGCTGGAGCCATGGGTCCCTCCCTAAGTGCTCCCAGGCTGGTGGTTTAGACCCTGGGGGCTCTGGTTGGTTGGTATTGTTGCTTTCCTCATGGGGTCACAAACCCTTTCAACTCCTTCAGTCTTCACTCTAACTCTTACACTGGGAACCCCATGATCAGTTCAATGGTTAGCTGTGAGCATCGGCCTCTGAATATGTCAAACTCTTGCAGACCTCTAAGGAGACAGCTTTATGAGGCTCCTGTCAGCATGCACTTCCTGACATCTACATCAGCGTCTACCTTTGGTGACTGCACATGGGATGGATACCCAGGTGGAATGGTCTCCAGACCCTCCTTCAGTTTCTGTCCTACACTTTGTCTCCATATTTGCTCCCATGAGTATTTTGTTACTCCTTCTAAGAAGGACCAAAGCACCCACACTTTGGTCTTCCTTCTTGATGAGCTTCATGTGGTCTGTGAGTTTAATCTTGGGTACTGCGAACTTTGGGGCTAATATCCAATTATCAGTGAGTACATACCATATGTGTTCTTTTGTGATTGGGTTACCTTACTAAGAATGATATTTTCTAGTTCCATCCATTTGCCTAAGAATTTCTCGAATTCATTGTTTTTAATAGCTGAGTAATATTCCATTGTGTAAATGTACCACATGTTCTGTATCCATTTCTCTGTTGAAGGACATCTGGGTTCTTTCCAGCTTCTGGCTATTATAAATAAGGCTGCTATGAACATAGTGGAGCATGTGTCCTTGTTATATGTTGGAGCATCTTCTGGTATATGCCCAGGAGTGGTATAGCTGGATCCTCAGGTAATGCTATGTCCAATTTTCTGAGGAACCACCAGACTGATTTCCAGAGTGGTTGTACCAGCTTGCAATCCCACCAACAATGGAGGAGTGTTCCTCTTTCTCCACATCCTCACCAGCATCTGCTATCACCTGAGTTTTTGATCTTAGTCATTCTGATTGGTGTGAGGTGGAATCTCAGTGTTGTTTTGATTTGCATTTCCCTGATGACTAAGGATGCTGAACATTTCTTTAGGTGCTTCTCGGCCATTTGAGTTTCCTCAGTTGAGAATTCTTTGTTTAGCTCTGTACCCCATTTTTTAATAGGGTTATTTGGTTGTCTGGAGTCTAATTTCTTGAGTTCTTTGTATATATTGGATATTAGACCTCTATCGGATGTGGGATTGGTAAAGATCTTTTCCCAATATGTTGGTTGCCATTTTGTCCTATTGACAGTGTCCTTTGCCTTACAGAAGCTTTGCAACTTTATGAGGTCCCATTTGTCAAGTCTTGATCTTAGAGCATAAGCCATTGGTGTTCTGTTCAGGAACTTTTCCCCTGTGCCTAGGTATTCGAGGGTCTTCCCCACCTTCTATTACTTCTATTAGTTTCA